ACATAGATAAAAGGTAGTCTCACTGTTTGTAGTTGCACCCCTGAAATTTTGCTGTAATATAGTGGGATTTTTTGTGAGTTCTTCTCTGTACTGTCACGACAACCTCTTCAATATGAAACCTCAAAGTCTTTGTTGTCTTCACATGTGCAGTACAATAGCTAACATGAACGATTACAAATACCTAAGCTAGGTGAACTATTAAAACAAGATATTAGGCAAGCATAGACTTTTAATGGATATTAGTAATCCACACACTTTTGTCACTTGGAATACTTTGCCCTTTATTCAAATGATATTACAAACTGTGGTGTGAAATATTTGCTAGTCTTACTTTGTGTTTGGTTATCTCTTATATGCAATGTTTATCTGTTCTGGGTAACTGAAGATCCACAAAGAGATACGTCTGTGTATGCATTGCTGGTGTGGATAACGTGCAAGTGCTTTATAACAGGACTGATATGATGTACTTTTTGCAAACAAATATTCGTGGGTACAGATGTTTGTGAAAGGTGACTTAGAATCAAATGGACCTAGACCATTACTGAAAGAAGTTTGGCCAGATATCTATTAAAAATCCCCCGTCGTTGAAATTCTGCACCTTGCCTAGGCAACCTGTTTCAGTGTGCTTCCTAATACTTAAGCTTTTCTTAGTGCAAATTAAGATGATTTTCCTCGCCCTCCACCATGGCCTTAGAGGACAGTTGAGCATCTACTATTTAGAATAATGTTCTGCATATTTTGACACTTCTGCAGTGTCCATCCCCATCCACTTTTAGCCTCCCCCCACCTCAATTTAATCCAATGTATAATGTCAGTGAAATATTTCACACTGTCCTCAGCCACGAAGAATGCACTTGTGCCCCAGGTCTACACACACTGGTGTCACACCAAGTGTAGTCTGCATATTAAGTTCATGCAGTTTTGTCAGATTCTGCAGGCTTACATCCCCCTGGGGGCAGTGCAGTCCCTTGAGGATCACGATTAACTGTGCTGGCCCAGTGGTCCAGCTCTGGGCTGGAGCAGACCGTTCCAGTGGTGTGCGCTCTTTCCTGTGTTCCACAACACGAGGGTGTCGAAACTTTACATGAGGCTGTGTAAAGTTTTGGTGCAGAAGCAAGTGCCTTTCCATACTAGATATATATCTGAACAAAATATCTTAAAAAAATAGAACAAAATGGCTTTAGCTAAGCATTTCTAATGAAATAAGGTGTTCTGAATAAAAGCCATCCTACTTACTGCAGGAGGATGAATCAAAGGTCCTCTTGCTGCTTGTATCAGTAGTTTGGAGGAATGGGGAGTTTTTAAACTCTGCAGAAGCTCTTTGCATAAAGACAAATTTCACCCTTATTATAGATTCTTCCCGTTCCACTCAGGATAAGAGCAGTGCTGGTTTTTGAACCAGCTGAGAAACTCTACTAGCCCTTGACTAACCGTTGACTGAGTTAGTGCTTATGGCTGGTTCAAATCAAGTTGTGTGGAGGAAGATGTTGAGAAGTTTGCAGTCTCTTCAGGATGTGTGCGTACCGTGTCTTGTCAGCAGGCACGTGCAGCCTGTACGCGAGCACTGTACGAGCTAAAATTCATATATTCCTATTAGTGCAGAACCAAGCTGAGTTAATTAATTTTGCTGCTAGGAAGGATACAGTAGTTCAGGCTGAACTTCTTTGGTACAGAGCTACTACAGGAGCTTTGGCTTGTCTCAATACTTTGATAACTTGCTTCAGAAACCAGGATTTTCTGAAGTTCTCAGCAGCCACAAACCTGGAGAAATTATCTGGATGCTGTGTGGGCTCAGAATTCCACCGCGGCTGACCTCAGTACAAAAACAGGTCCTTGGTCCACAAAGGACAAAATTCATTGAAAGGGTCTGCTGAGCAACAAAAAAACATTCTCCAGTGCAACAATGACTCTGTGTTGTCTAATACAAACAAAATTTCACAGAAAAATGCGCACTCCAGTTGGTTTATTTATTAAGACTATCATGACTGTACTTACTCAGTTTTATAAGGTATTTATTACCAGTCCAAATAGTGTAGTCTTTCTCCAGGTACTGATTTTGTTCGTTACATGTTATAAATGAAATTTCCAGCTAATGCAATCAACTCCCTTTCTGCTTATCTTCATGTAAGAAATATCTGTGGTTGATGTTACACCTCAGGATTTAAAAATAGCTCATAGGTCTCACTCCGCTTCCAGCTGCTTGCAGGAGTAATGTTGGAGAGAAGGCTTCCTCCAAATACAAAAGTGCCAGTACCAATCTGTACTCCAGAGGAGATACTTTCCAAACCTAGGGCCCTGCAAAACTTGGGTACTTTGACTCCAGCCTCCTTCACTCTGGAGTTCTAATGCTGTGGCTGGATCATAAAAACACTTTGTTCTAGGGCAACCCCAAGTCTAGCAGCTCTGTTAACAAGTGGAACTTTCTTCTTACCGTAAGCTACATCCACGTTCTTACACGTATCTGAAGTGGATGCTCAGCCTGTATAGTAATATCTCATCTTCCAAGAGCTGCCCACACATATCTCAGTGTTTTCTCCAAGTCAGAACAGACAGCATGGATCACTTTGTATCCTTCCAAAGAACATGCAGAGTTTGACTTCAAGGTAGTGCCATTTGGTGCTGTTAAGATTCTGACCCTTGTCTCTTATCCCGTCCTCTGGTTAGGAACTTGTTTGTGTGGTAGGTTTTAACAATTTATCTCTCCCCAGGTGCCATGATACATGAGTTAAAATGTTGTCTTGGATTTGCAACACCTTACATGTCGCACTTGTTAAAAAGAATTGGCTTGTACAATATATGTCATAATCTTACGAAGTATGTGCTCTTCAGGGTGTCATTACCTCATGACAGAGACCACATATGAGATTAACACTGGGATGATGGTTGCAGTAACAAATTGCTTGAACTGCCCAGTTTCTACCCCGTCCTCATTGTTTGCTATCAGTTGTGGAAGTACCAAGTGTCACAGCTTGTACAAAATCCTGTATGAACAGATTGCTAAATATATCGTCAATGGGTATTACCATCTGTAGGTTACATGCATTCCCACTGGAGGTCTGTACATGGATTCTTTGGGATGGTGGGATTCTGTGTCTTGATTTGATCTAAGTAAGAGGTTTCTATTATTACCTCCAAATTTTTAGCACATATACTCTTAGGTAACTTAAGAATAAATATCATTTATCAGTATGTAATCTCTTGTTCTTGCTGTGTTTCTGAACTACCCTGGCTCTGTTTTACTTCCTCAGTGGATCCATGATATTAATTTAAACTGTTACTTTCTTATTAATTCTGGTATCTGTTTTTCTTCCAGACTGTTTCTGCTTTTATTGAAGCACTCGTTCTTGTGGAATGAGTAATAAAAAGCAAAAACGTGTCATCTGTATTAATGAATGTTATCTATCATCAGTTTGCTTTTTCAGGTTCTGGTAGTCATCACACACAAAACAACTGTTTTACTAAAGCAGGGCAAGAATATTCTTGTATTATTTCTTCTCCTCTGAACATCCTGTGGTTGACACAGATAATATTTAGGCCTGCTTCATTTAGCTTTAAGAAAAAATTAAAGGAAATCAAAATTATGGTTTTTTGTGATTTCTCATCTCCATGTGATTGCCAGGGAGCAGTGAGGGACGGCTGCTCCCCAAGGGACAGGGAGAGGGAAACATAATCCTTAGGTTCTTCCATGTGCTAGACTATGCCTTGTCTCCATCAGAAATATAATTATATTATTATTAGAATATTTGCTCTATGTACATTGTCGATAAAGTCGAATTAAGCAACTTCTCTTACCTATGTCTTACCCTATTAAGGTCATCTTACTTTCAGCCAGAATTTGGCCTGTATTGTTTAACTAGTTCCAATGGTTTGGTTTACCCTACTCACTGAAAAAAGTATGAAATCGAACTTTTCTATTCCGCTGGCTCTAAGAGTAAATACTTTTTTCTTCACAATTAACCTTTAGTGTTTGGATAGGAATTACTATATTTTCCCTGCTGTGTTATCTTCTTCAAAATTCCAAGGGATTCTGTTATCAATGAATTTTATTCTCTAAATGGTTAGTAGTTCTCTTAGTATCTCACCTAATGAGATAGCTAGGGCTTACCAATTGATAGATAATGGCTGGACATGAATATTTCAGCCTTACAGTCTGAAAATCATTCCCTAAAGTAGAATTAATTACAGTGTTTCATGTCTGATGGGGCTTTTCATTGCATTTGACTGTTAATAATATAGGATGTTTACACACATAATATTTTTATCAGTTTGGAGGTAACAGGAATTGTAAGATGGGTGATAGCTTTCACTCCTACATAAAGTTTGAGTGAATCCCTTGCGCTCTTACCTATTTAAGGACTTCTGCTAGGTGTTTTGGGGAGCAGCTAAACTGTCTGTCTCTACCACAAAGATATCCTTCTTTATTTGCAAGTTGTGATGTAAATTATTTAACATCTGTGATATTGTGCACGGGAAAAACGTGCTGAACAGTTGCAGAAAGGAATTATTAATTAATTGGCTTGCAACCATCTAGCTGTTCGCTAAGTACTATAGCCAGTACTTCCCATCACCATTCCTTTCATCTCCTTGGTTCTTTCTTTCTTTCTTCAGCCTTCTAGTTTCTTACAATCATTTGTTCTTTGTTGATTGAAATCACATTGTTAATTCTTTGGGGACTGAAGTCTCTCAGTGTTTCTATAAGAATCTTAGCAATTAATAATTATAAGAAGACCGATTACAACTTTTTCTGGATGGGAAGGGGAGACCAAGAGAGAAAAAGGATAAGAAAAGAAGTTGTTGGTCTGATTAGTTTCTGAACATTTGCTGTGAAAATGGACTTGGTCTGCAAAGCAAGTCAAGGGAAATGACATTATAGAGGGTTCACTTTTTTTTTTTTTTGTTGCTTAGTGAATTAGAACTGCTTTTCATTCATCTAATTCTCTACCACCGCTTTCCTACTTATTTTCCTGTCTTTGAGGAGGTTTTATTTGGGTTTTTTGCAGGTCAGAATTAGCTTCCTGCTGTGATGCAGTTCACAATTTTATTGCTTCTCAAAACAACACCCCACTGGGAAGTAACATGAGTTACGAAGTGGACAGTAAAAAGACCATTCTCATTACAGAGGACATTTTTAAGATGCTGCCTGTGGTAAGAACTGTATCTTTACCTCTTATTATAATTGCAGTATCGTATATATTTTGGGTTAGTAATAGAGCTGCTTTGATTCCTCTGGAAGAGACCCTTCACCCCCTGTATTCCCTTCTTCATTCACCTTGTAAAACCTTTTTTTTTTTGCCTTCCTCTGTAGTGGTGGAGTCATGGACAGGGTATCATAGATTGGATTGTAGGTAGAGTTGCTACAGAACACAAGTTGCAGCCTGGCTTGGCAGCCAGCTGAGTTCAGGAGTGAATCCTTGGAGAACGTTTTCCTTGCTTTTCTCATTCCCATTTTCAAAGGCATTTCAGTCTGGAACAACATTTCATATTCCTTATATTCCCATGCTATTTCTCGTGCAGGCTTGGTCATATAACTTATATTTTGATGGTAAACCTGATTAGAATAGAATAGAATAGAATAGAATAGAATAGAATAGAATAGAATAGAATAGAATAGAATGCAATGCAATGCAATGCAATGCAATACAAGACTATTTCAGTTGGAAGGGACCTACAATGATCATCTAGTCCAACTGCCTGACCAAGTCACGGCTGACCAGAAATTAAAGCATGTTGTTAAGGGCATTGTCCAAGTGCCTCTTAAACACTGATGGGCTTGGGGCATCGACCACCCCTCTAGGAAGCCTGTTCCAGTGTCTGACCACCCTATCGGTAAAGAAATGCTTCCTAATGTCCAGTCTAAACCTCCCCTGGTGCAGCTTTGAACCGTTCCCATGTGTCCTATCACTGGATCCCAGGGAGAGGAGATCAGCACCCCCCTCTCCACGTCCCCTCCTCAGGAAGTTACAGAGAGCAATGAGGTCGCCCCTCAGTCTCCTTTTCTCCAAACTAGCCAAGCCCAAAGTCCTCAGCCACTCCTCACAGGACATTCCTTCCAGCCCTCTCACCAGCTCTGTTGCCCACTGGGGTGGGGCCTTTGCAGCCAGAAACACAGGTTGAGCAAAGGAGTCAGATTTTGTAGCTCAGGACTTGTAATAGATGTATAAGCTCTGGAGACCAGATGAAGAGGGCCACAGAAAGGCACTTCTTGAAAGTAAGAGCACATGGGAGCTGTCTTACCTGACTCTGGCATTCTTGATTTGTGAGATCCCAGCTACCATGAGTCCAGTCCTTTTTAATGCTGCTGTGAATCACTAAAAACTTCATGGCAGTAGAGGTTACAGTGGTTCCAAATTTAAACTGAATGAAAGAAGAAAGTAGAATGCTTTATGTGAGAGAAGGAGGAAGGATAATATTTTGTGTAAGCAAGTTTTGACTCAATTTTACAAGTGGGTTCAGTTTCTGCAGTCAAAATAGCCCAGCTGTTGGCCTCTCTGTTGAATGTGAGTGCTTCCACAGCAGGAGAGGATGAATGACATGGATGAGACCCTGGGATAACAGCCAACTGTATTAATGTCAACTGAAATAGCCAACAATTGACATTAATTTGCTAGGTTGTGATCTGTGCTGGTTCACAAGTGGATGCGCTTAGCTCCCCTTCAGGTTCCCCTAACAAGAAGAGTAGAGAAGGTGTACAACCAAAAACAGTAACCTCTTCAGTGAGCCATCACATTCACCGTGAGTTAAGCCAGGGCACATGATTATCCTTTACAGCATCTTCAGGTTCCCCTAAATTCGTTATTTTACATCAAATGTAATTGTGTGATGACACAGTAATGAGCATTTACGAAGTTACCTGCTATTAGCTGACAGAGGCAATGACTGTGTGACAGCCCCCAGTCTGTAACAGTGCAAAGGGAAATGGGTAAATTTAACCTATCTTCAGTACAAGTTAGTTCCTTAGCTTGTCAAGAATTCAGTCCACTACTACAGAATTACTGCGTTAAGTGTATTTAAAAGATATTAATCCAGTTTTAACAATTCAGTCTTATTCCCTCAAAGTACTCATGACAGAAATAGCAGTTCTCAGTCTGTTGGTGCCTATTTTTGGCTCTTGGCTGCCCAGGCCTGGCAACCCTGTCTGCTAAATGGTGAATGCTTTCACTGGGATTTACCGGATTAAACCTGCAAGGACAAACGACTAAAGATGCAAAGAAACAATCAAAAGATTTACAAGACATTGGCTGTGTCTTTTTATTTGTTTGCAGTCCTCTCCTCTTTCAGTCTATCCCTTCAAGACCTGTGCCGTGGTTGGAAATGGAGGCATTCTGAAAAATTCCAGCTGCGGAGCTGAAATCGATCATTCTGACTTTGTGTTTAGGTAAGAACTGCTTCATGGTACCAAGGGTTTCAAATGTTTCTGAAAACTTGGCAGGTTTGGAAGCATGCCAATGCCAGTTTGTAGCAACGAGGAAGGATCTTGACAATTCTTTAATTCTGCCTCTCTAAGGGTACTGTAAATTTCAGAATGTGCTTCCTAAGTAAAGAGAGGACTATATGGATACATGTATGATCTATGATTGCAAAAATACCTTGCCAGTGATGTGAAATGTGATTATCGGAGAACCTGAAATTTCTATTCATTTAATATCCTTTAGGAGAGGGAACTTCCCCCCCCCCCTTTTTTTTTTTTTTTAATCAGGAGAAGAGAATAAAGAAAACCCTGAAAATGAAATAAGAAAGACTGGTATTAAATGTCACATGTTTACCTTTACATCTGGTTTAAAAAAGGGTCTACTTAGCCTTAGGTCGGCTCACTATTGCAGTTACTTAACTGCCCTGGTATTTGTCTCACCTTCTGTTTGCCATCTAAAAAAATAGACAACTAATTTAAGTGTTTTTTTTCAGCTCCCTCAATAGATTGTGGAGAAAACCAGGCATACTCAGAGTATAATTTGGCCTACTCTCTCAGTACGTGACTCACATTTTGTAGTTCCTGCAAGGGAACAGAGTAACCAAGTGAAGGTTCTTCTCTCAGTGATGTCCAGTCACGCAGTCTGCTGGATTTTGTTTCCTTTTCTGCTTTTGACTAATATTTGGGCTTTTCAAATAATAATAATAAAGTCTTTCCAGTTAGATAACTGTCGTAATAAAAATGGGAAGTCTGCATCCTAAGATGCTAAATTAACTAAGTGACCGACCTTTCCTTTTACAGAAACCACTGTTTCTGCAATTGGGCAAGTTATGCTGTTGTCTCATGAAACAGATGTCAACATCACGGTGCAAGCTGAGGGACTGGTATCAATCAGACTGGTTTAAAACAGAAAATAATAGAAGACTTTCAGAAGAAATGCATTGTTTATGCAAGAGGGACAATATTTCCTAGTAGCTAACATAGGGCATTCATAGACTGTCTCCTTCTGGGATTTTAACTTTGCTCCTGGTTTGTGAGATGATTTATGAAAATGAGCTCTCTGTGCCCTATTTTAACCATCTGTACAGTAGATTAAATATTTTTACTAGAAGTGCTGTAAGCCTTATTTAATATTTGTAAAGTGCTTAGAGATCCCTGGGAGCTGACGTGAAAGTGTCATTGCACAAGAGAGGAATTTGCAAATAATAACTGTAAAGCATTTCTGGTGCACATCTGTTTCAGTAAATGTTTCTCAATTTCAGGTGTAACCTCCCTCCAACCACGGGAGGCATTAGCAAAGATGTTGGCAATAAAACAAACCTTGTGACTGTTAATCCGAGTATCATAGCTCAGAAGTAAGTACTACTGCAAATCTCTTTCTGTGCAATATTGTGTAGTTGTTCGACATGATTCAGATTTTGTTGGAAATCCTTTGGGATACCAGCATAGAGAGCAATGCACGCAGATTACTTCATTAAGTCTTAGTTCCCATGTAAAATATGTACCAGTCTGAGTGGAAATCTGTTAACACTGGTCTTTTTTGAAGCAGAAAGGAGTCAGCAATACCCAGATTAGAAAGTGCCTTGATTGGCACCAATCACAATTTATTACAGAGTAAAATTGATGATTGCAAGCCCAAGCCTCTTCTTCCTCTCCCCCCCCACCCCACGACCCTCATGACTCCTAAAATAAGGAATTGTAATCATAAATCAGGAAAGCTTTGAAATGTGTGTCTGACTCTCTCAGTAGGACTGTAAGCACATGTTGTTAGGTAATGTGCTTAGAGGCTGTTCTGATGAAGGCTATTTCCTGAATGGAGGCCCAATTTCTGTAATCCATTTTCTCAATCCATGCGAAAGCTGCTCACACACTTTTTTCTCAGCAAAGTTTTTTTTTTTTACTTTCTTGATGAAAAGAAAATCTAATAAGGCCAGGCTGACTAATCTGACATCTTCAGCAGGCTGGAACTGCAGCTTATCTATGGAAAGGGCTGCTGTGGCATGTTATTTACTGCTTACTGATCTTAGTGTATCTTATTGTCTGTCATATCTGTATTTGTCGAATAGACATCAGGCAAAGCTTTTTTTTTTTCCCCCCCTTTAAAGGAAAAAGTACGGTAAGCATAGAAATCACTAACAGGCATTTGTCATTGATTCAAGGGTAGAACTTGATTTTTTACAATGAGCGCTAACTACCTTGATACCTACACAGCCCTTTTTGACTTAAATGAAGATGAGTTATTGCTTCTCCAAAAATAGTTTGAACTCATTGATGTTAGTGGGGCTACACAAGAATATGAGGAAGCAAAACTTTGTCCAGTGACTCAGCATCATTGGTGACTGCTGATCTGATGCATGATTTGTCTGAGCTTGATCAAAGTGTTCTGCCACAGCTGCACTCATTTTTTAGCCAAATTAAGCCACACCAGAGTTAATAGAAGTTACTGAAGTTCACTGAAGGGAATAGGAGCTAAACCTATGTGAAGATGAAATGAGATTATGAGAGGACTTTAGGATTTTAAAAAATTAATTATTTATATATTCAGAGAACCCTGTAAATGCTTTTGAAGGAGGAGCAAGAAGCAGCTTGGCACCATTTAGCAGAACTAAGTTTGATTCTTCTCTCAGAAGACCTATTCTGACTTTATTCATTTTAGTTTGTAATTCTGTGTTTGGGTACTTGGGTTAGGCTGATGTTATTATTGTTAAGGTTAATCAGCTTTTGAACTGTGTCTGTCAGGGTGTACAATGTAGGTGAGGTCTCTTGGAGGAAAGAAGCACAGTTCTTACGTGTCCTAATGGAGCTGGGCTACACCACACCTTACAGTGGCAGAGCTGGAAAGGAAAACAAACGAGGTTGGGTCGTTCAGATTTCCAGCTAAGGAAGAGCAGAGATCTGAATTCTGTCCTGAAGGCTCTTTATGTACTTTACACTGAGTAGCAATAGAGAAAATTCCTGGAGTAGGGGCCAGAAGTTCACCCGTCAACCACTCCTCCTACCCATAGGCTCAGGCGTTTCTTGCTTGTTTTGGTGGTGCGGCTCTTGCATGCACTGGGGCCCAGGGTCAACAGGAGGGGCTGAGTCTTTCTCATTCATTTTGTTTCAGAGTCTGGTGGTAATGGCACTTTTCTGGGAAGCAGAAGCTGTAAGTTTAAACCCCTTCAGGCTGAGAAGGGGTGTATTACTCCTTGCATGAGTTCAGTTGCGCAAGAGGTAACTGATAACTCTTCCATGAGGGTTTTGAATGGAAATGGCAGTGGCAGCTGTCCTCTGTCTTGAAGTGCTGCATGAGAAGAGGGTTTGAACCTACTCAAGTTGTGAAGAGAAATGAAACCAAGTTTCCAGTTTCAGCTGGAGCTATGGGTGAAAAGTGAGCTCTGGTTGCCCTTAAAAGGCAAAACACACTGCTCAGATAGACACCTACCTACAAAAGAGGATTCCGTGCTGTGAGTCCCAAAGGGGGTGCGATCACCATATGTTCAGGTGATTCAAACAACTCAGATCTATAGAGGAAATGAGTTGAGTGACCCCTTTGTGTCTTGTATCACTTCTTGGATAACTCTGGAACCTTAACACTCAATATTTGGGAGCATGGAATTATCCAGCAGAGGGGACTAAGTCTCTTTGCTGATTGTTGGGGAACCAAAGCATCTGAGGATAAATTCTCTTCATTTGTGAAGTTAGATCTCTAAGTCTTTACAGATCTCCACGTGTTCCCTTTGCAGTCGAAGGAGATAAATAGACATGCCTGTATTTTCAGCTATTTTAAAAGTATATCAGAAGCAGCTAAGACCCTGCCAAACTTGAGCACACACTAATCTTTAACACTCCAAAACTGCTCACATGCGTACTTGTTACCCACATAAGGCAGACACCCAGATTTTGAAGAGAGGTTATTGTATACCTATTGATTTAAGAAACACATTTCACAAACACATGCGGTACATACCATAGTGCATGTATTTTTAAACAGAGAAAATATAAATACGATTTTTTTTTGCATTCTCCTTTGAAATTTCTTGAATTGATCAATTCTGTAAACAGGACTTGGTCTCATTAGCAGTGAATTTGATCTGCTTCAGTAACTCCCATGTTGCAAATTCAATCCTATGAAGTGTGTTCTTATACAATAAAGCCAGATATTCATAACTGCACACAGACAACATATAACAGGTTGGTATAAATTTGCAGTGTAGATGTGCTGAACTGGTACAGCAGAGTTCGTAACTCATACATGCAAGTGCAGTTGTGCTGGTTTGGTCTGTAATATTTATATCAATAGTACATTCCATTCACTCCTTTCCTAAAATGTTGTAATTTGCAGATACAACAAACTAAATGAAAAGAAAACAGAATTTCTGGAGAACATTGCGGTCTATGGAGATGCTTTCCTTTTACTGCCAGCATTTTCCTTCAGAAGCAACACAGCCACTTCTTTCAAAGTATATCACACTCTGCAAGAGTCCAAAGCAACCCAAAGGGCAATATTTTTTCACCCCACCTATCTGAAAAGTCTTGCCCAGTTCTGGAGAACTAAGGGTGTGAAAGCCTACCGGCTGTCATCTGGTTTTATGATCACTAGTGCTGCTCTTGAGCTTTGTGAGAATGTGAAGCTCTATGGCTTCTGGCCTTTCTCAAAATCCACAGAGAAGATGCCAATCAGCCACCACTATTATGACAACCAGCTGCCTAAACCTGGTTTCCATGCAATGCCCAAAGAATACAATCAGATCCTTCAACTTCATGGCAAAGGCATTTTGAAGTTGCAGTTTGGTAAATGCCAATCAGACTGAAAAGGTAGGTCACATTCTTACCATATAAAATGTCTTTATTTAAGTAATGTGTCAAGGGAAAACTTGTTTTGCAAACAGTGTGGGTCAGTTCTTCCTTAGAGAGGCATTTCTACCTTACACTCAATTAAACTTGTGTTCATAAACAAGTCAAAGGTTGGAGATTTCTGAATAAATATAGTGTACCACAGAGCTGAGAAATGTTTTCTAATTGTGAACTTTAGATGGGGAGCATAGCTAAATACACATTATCACCATAATTCACAGTCAAGCAGTAGTGTCTCCTTATCTCAGTTGGGTGTCTCTACCGACCTATGTTTGGTTTGGTATCGGTTCCCATGAACCAGCCTCCTTTGTGAATTGTGTTATTAAAGGCGGTCACATACTGTGACCTGCAAGAGAAGACACCTAATCCTGGCACAGCCTTTCCAGATGTACACAGAGTGCAAAGCAAGGATTAAGATTGCCCCATGAAGGAGTAGCATGCATATGCACCCTTCTTCCCTCCTGTTAGCTAAAGAGAAGTTTAGAGCAGTATGCTCTCGCAGCCTTGAGCTGCAGAACAGCTTGCGGATGGACAGCAGTGAGGAAGCTGTCATGCATTACAACAGATCTTGCTGAGGATTTCGCCTTGAGGCAGCTCCGAATCTGGGAGTTACAAATATAGGATGGAGTGTCATTCCCATTCCTCTGTCCTCTCTAACTGTCCCATCCCCCTTGGACCTCTACCTTCAGCGTATTGCCTCTGAGAAGTGCAGCACTGAGTCTGGCCTCTGACCTTGAGCCAATTTACCATGTACAGATTGCAGATGACTTTGAAAAGATTTGTCTGCATGTTTTCAATCTTGACTTGCCCTGTTGACAAAATAAGACCTATTTGTATAAATACTTCTTCTTCTTTTAAGCTAAATCAGAAATTCCCCAGGTCACAGTACTGTTGTCAGATTTGCCTTTCACAGAACTATTTTTCTGGAGGGGTTCAACTCAATATAACACTAAGTGAAATATACGGTAGAACTACCATTGTATACAATACGCTTTAATTGGACTGATGTAATCTTATGACTGTATTACTCAAGTTAAATAAATTAAAATAGCATCATCTTGTTCAGCCAGAAATTTTAATTTCAAAAGCTAAGGCTTTTTTTCTGGATAGGTTCTGAAATGTATTTGAAAATATTAAAGATACATTCACACTTGGTTCATCGTCAGAGACTGCTAAGTTTTAAACTAGTAAATTCCTAATTCCAAGAATTTTATTCGGTTTCAGTATATTTGAAGAAATAGAAAAATAAACTGCTTTCGTATATTATTACAATAATATAAATCATGTGAGAAGGGACCTAGAAACCATCTAGTGAATCCATTCTCCTAGCCCATGGCAGGAGATTACCTAGGCAGAGGTGTATGTGTATGCAGTTTCATGTGGCTGAGGTATGCTTTTTTGGTTGTAAAAAGTTGCAGCATATTGGAAAGGTTAAGAAATACATAATGTATTTTTCTTAGTGGCTAAGCTGTTTATACCCTGCAGTTTCCATTGTATTTATTCTTCCTATAGTACAAATTGCTGGAGACATACCATGTAATTTTAATTGTAGTAACTACACCAGCTAAGAAAATGAAAGGCAGCTCTTTATGAATATTTAATCTAAAGAGGAGCAGATAGAAGCCACAAAAATGTTTAAGCATCTGTGTGGGTTAATTAAATGCTGTCCGTGCTTGACAGACTGAAAATCACTTCTGTGGCCAGATTTGCAAAATAAGCTGTAAAGAAAAAGCAACCAGAAGGATAAGTTGTGCTGCCCTAAGATTTTTCTCCACTATGTTAATCACTTATATTTACAAAGCAAAAAGTTAGCCCAAGGAAATTAAATGCTTTCAGTATAAGCCACCATTCTGCTACTATTATCAACTATTAGAGATAATTGAAATTCTATAATGATTCTGTTTCACTGAAGATGACCTTTTCTAAAAATTGAGCAATTTCCCTTCTCTTTTCAATTTCCATTTTATGTTCTTCTCCCTGCTCCCCGCTCT